TTCGTCACAGTTTTAAAGTAGATCGTCACAGATGAGTGTTTGTGGGTCCCATGGGTAAACGGCAGATGGAGAAACGACGCTACGGAGATTTATGACGAAATGCCATTCGTCACGATTCAAAAACTGTTCGTCACAGATGTGTAATTAGTTCAATGACGAAACCCTATTCGTCACAGTTTTAAAGGAGATCGTCACAGAATTGGAGGGTTGCAAGATCGTCACCGCTTATCTATGACGAAATGCAAATGTTCGTCATAGAAAGCGATCTTCTGTGATGGTTTTTGTGACGCTGCCTAATTTCGTCATAGAATTGGAGGGTTTTAGGATCGTCACCGCTTATCTATGACGAAACGGAAATTTTCGTCATTGAAAGTGATCTTCTATGATAGTTTCGGATCCATCATTAGCAAATTCGTCATAGAAGTTGAAATTTCTACTAGTGCAATCTGCCAGTCGACCACCTTCTCCTTGGTGCTGTTCCTCTTCATGCTTGGCCCTTTGCCCATCAACAACAACGCCTCTCCTAAAAGAGCAAGCTTTCGCGTGCTAAGCAACGGCGACGGTTGTTGGGTGGTCGCCGGAGATGGAGATGGTAGGCTGAAGGTTAGGGTTTTGGGAGATGGCAAATGCGGCGTGGAGAAAGACAGAACAGGGCTAGTGCTATTTTATAAGGATTTTTTTCTAGCCCACGCGCCCTGAAAAATCTGCCACTCAGAGATCGTGTGTCGTTTTCCCTTCCGCATTTAATGGCTGATGCAACTGATGTGACGTTGGCACGCCTTTTCATACTGCAACGGGCAGATTTGTTTCCATACTTAAGTCTTGGATTCTCACAACAAGTTTTTTCTCTCAACCAAAGTTCAGACCAAAGAACGGGGCCTTAAGCCTTGTTTAGATTGTAAGTTTTTTCACTCTCTCCATCACATCAAATCTTTGGACACATGTATAGTATTAAATGTAGATAAAAAATAACTAATTACATGATTATTGATTGTAAATTACTAGAGACAAATCAATTTGTCAAAGCAAACGAAAAGTACTACAAGCTAAAGACCATTGATTAGATAATAATTATCAAATATAAACAAAGTCGACTACCAAGATTTACCTAAAATATAATTCAAGCGGTTTTCGATTCCTAGGAACCCCAATCTTCAACCCGGAACTAAACATCTCATATAAAGATTCCCGGGCACCTGATATGACCGACTGATTGCATCTGATATCCGAAGATTTACCCGGATAGTTTCAGCTTTTTTACCCGGTTGTTACACCAGAAGCACCCGGCGGTTTTCAGTTTTTACCTAGGAACTCTAGGAGTACCCAGACAGTTTCAGTTTCAACCCGGATGACTTAAGGTAGCACCCGGATGGCTTATATATTGCTCGGATTTCACATCTACAGACACAACATACACTTTGCGACAGAATTGTTTATTCTAGAAGTAAATCAAAAGATACAAGATTATATATCTTACAAGACCCATCGAATTTAGTACAAGCAACCGTTTGACTAGCAACAAGGAATCCAGTGGAATTCGGCCTCATGACCGACTTAGTTACAAGGAGGATCCTAGTTGTTACGATGTAGAACACACTCTACTCGGACCACTATTTCAATTGTGAGAACGCAGTGCATCCAAGATTGGTGTCAGCAGTGCGACACTTCCTAGTCTGCTAGGTTTGGGCGACATCTGCAGGCATCTGTCTACCCAAGCCCCTTCCGCCATGATCACTCAGACCAGAAACTAATCGCCAGTGAACAGACGTGAACAAGCCAAGTCAAAGAACTTACATGGGACTCCTTGGATGATGGAACGTGTCCCCTCGTCACAAGGCTCTTCTACTTGTATTCACAGACCACTTGGTGATACAATACTGCGGGTCTAGTCTACCGCTAGTTCCCTTCACAAGACCTCTTCTACTCGCTGCAAGATTTACAAGTTTTCTCATACATGCAGGGGGCTGCTCTACTTCACACACCATCATATTCATAGCTATGGTTCCTGGTTTGCTGATTCAACTCAATTGCTATGCTCAATGCTCGCTAGGAGGGTATTTATAGGCTCCGGATTGGTCTATATGGACTAGGTCTAGCTTGGTATTATCCTGACAGATTCCCTCCGGGTGGTACATAGGTTGCAGACTGCATAAAGAGAGTATAATATTTACTCCTTCACGTCGCAGTCAAAATAAAACGATGTTGGGTTCTGGCTGATGGTTCTGTCGATGCTACCGATGAATGGTGGAGGAGATTTTATTCTTAGGTGTTTTAACTCTTTGCTACATTTCCAGACAAAAAATGAACGCAGTATTATTTATATCTTCAAATAAATTTATTAAAAAATTAAACAAAAAGATTTTTTCGATGATATCAAGTACTTAGCATAAATATTTAAATATTCTAATATATAATTGTCGGCGGTTGTTTCTCGACGTCACTTATTTTGGTACATAGGAGTAAACGTGAAGCTACAGTCTATTGGAACGCATATTCCGACGAATATCCGGTTACTATGTTGCTCGTGACTCCGATGGCTTTACTGCTCAACCACTTCCGTTCACCAACTTTCTAACAAGTAGCGGGGCATTTATTGCTCCTGCACGACTGATCCTACATCCGACTACCTCCATTCAGAAGTACTCAGAAGGTTTATCGACTTTTACTCGGACATCTTCTGGAATATTCGGATACAGGCTCGGGGCTGCGGGACACATATGCCTAGGAAATGTTTTTTATTTTTCCTAGAAAATTTGCAAAAAAGATCCTTCAACTTTTTTTTTCCAAACGGCAAAAAGGTTCGGGGGGCCACATCCAGTGGGTGCACTTTGATATGATTTTACATTTGTCCTTTTTTTTTGCAAAAGTGCACTGCCACTACATGGAAGGAGTTTTCACAAGAACATTTGACATTTCTAATTGAAGTTTCTCTTCGTGTCATCAGAGGGAATTTACTCGGATCAACCTTGTTTCTACCCGGAAGACAAAATGTCGCAAGAACCGGAGAAAAAAAGAGATATTCAATTATGCCCATTCAGTTCAACCATAAATTGCTCGGGGCTCGTCGTCTACGGGACCACAAAGATTATAGTTGCTTGTATGGAGTTAAGATTGAGTGGCCTCAACGATGTTGAGTCAACTTCTATGTATGGGCCCAGCTTAGGCCCACGGTCAAGATCAAAGGACACCAATCAAGGTGGCGTGGACTTAATAATGTTGCTTGTGGAGGACTTGTAAGCTTTATTTATTTGAGAAGTTGTAAAATGTTGCCGACCTTTAAGTGTTTTGTGTGTGGAATATTAGGAAAACTAGACTCTGTAATAGGTCTAGAACTCCTCAATGTACCCGGCTAGGACTAGAATTGCACCTCAGCCTTCTCTCCCTATATAAAGAGGGGCTAGGGGCACCCCTTGTACACACAATCATAATCATAAATCCAACGCAAAGGCTAACGCCCGCTGAACGTAAAGGCTTTTACTCGATCACGAGGGACCGAATCAAGTTCAATATAATCGCTTTGTCTCTTGCGAGTTACAGACAGGTCAACTTCTATGTATCCAGCCGAAGTTCACGGTCAAGATCAAAGGACACCAACCAAGGTGGCGGGTTCGTCGTAAAGTCCCTCGGAAACAAAAGTTAGACTCTAATAGGTCTAGAACCTCAATGACTAATTAGAATTACTTGGTCATAAAAGGGGCTAGGGCACCCTTGTACACCAATCATAATCATAAATCCAAGGACCTAACCCGTAAAGGCTTTTACCGATCACACCACCACCAGGGTTGAATCCACCGTTGGTGTTGTCTCAAAGGAAAAAGATGCATAATGAACCTGTCGAAAAATGGAAATTAACATGCTTTTAGCAAGGACAGTTTCTTTTTCTTTTGGATAACTTTTAAGGGCAAATGTTACTGCAATATTGGAGAGTGGACTATGGAGACATTGCACAAATGCTCGTCAGTCATGATGCAAAGAGTAACCATGTTTTCAGAATCCCGCGTCTGTATGTTGAAGACTTATTAGTGCAGAAGTTATTCCTCAAAATTAAGTGCATCAGACGGTGGGAATTCTGGAAAGAGAGAAACGCAAGATGCTTCCAAGGCGCCAGCACCCAACCCAAATACCACAGGCATCAAGCATGAGGCGGAACAATGGGTACAAGCCCGCGCCAAGAACCTCGGTTTTCTGATGGCCAGACTAATAGGCTAGCGTCGCAGTGTTCAGGGAGGGCTTAAGCTTATTTCATATCTCTGTGGCCCTCGCCTAAGGCGCCACCAAGGTGCATTGTTAAAACTATCTCCTTCTTAATACAAAGGCGCACAAATCTTTTGTGTGTTTAATAGGAAAAAAGTGCATCAGACGGCAAGGTAAATTGATTTCTTGAAACCGGTGATCAGACACGAAATGCATGGTTTCAGATAGCACGTTGATTGATCTTAACTAAACAAATCAGAAATATCTCTTCAGATTTGGGAAGGTCGTCATCTACTCATCTGAGCATTAATCTGACAGTCGCGCCTGACCAAGCGACCAGACTCTCCATAAGAATGAAAGTGAAACCTTTGTTATACACGAACGATTCTTCGGAGTGTATGCCAAGAGCTGTTGCCTGGGAGATCTTCCATCTACTCACCACGCTTGATGATGGCCAACAACATAAGAAAGGAGCAACCATCGTGCGTAGAGAGTCGTCACTGTTTGTCAAAAAGAACAACAATTGATTTCTCCCGAGTCCGAACGTGGATTTGACGAGGAATCTTGCCACGAAGACGAAACGGCCGAGCTCCTTCCTCTTCAGTTTCTCCATCACACGTCAGTGGAGCTGGGCTGGCAATGGCAAAACTTTTTTTCTCAATCTTTTCCATTAAAAAATCGTAAAAACGAGCACGCTCGCCGGCGCCGCGACCTTCCTCTCAGGCTCAATCAGGTTCAGGCTTTCAGCTCTCACATCACAATCACATCCAGTCCAAGCCAAGGCCGCACTCCACCCCAGCCCGGCGATGGAATCCGCCGCCGTGGCCATCGTGACGGTGCCCTTCCCAGCGCAGGGCCACCTGAACCAGCTGCTACACCTATCCCTGCTCCTCGCCGCGCGGGGGCTCCCCGTCCACTTCGCCGCGCCGGAGCCGCAGCTCCGCGAGGCCCGCGCGCGCCTCCACGGCTGGGGTCCCGGCCCCGACGCCCTCCTCCCCGTGGCGGTGCGCTTCCGCGCGCTCGACGTGCCCCCGCACGAGTCCCCCGCCCCCGACCCGTCCTCCCCGTTCCCGGCGCACATGCAGCCCCTCTTCGAGGCCTACTGCGGCGGCGCGCGGGCCCCGCTGGCCGCGCTCCTGGCGGGGCTCGCCGCGACCCACCGCCGCGTCGTCGTGCTCCACGACCGCATGGCGGCGTTCGCGGCGGCCGAGGCCGCGCGCCTGCCCAACGCCGAGGCACTCGGCGTGCACTGCCTCGCCGCCTCCTACAACGTCGGGTGGGCGGACCGGGAGCACGCCCTGCTGCGCCGCCACGGCCCCGGAGTTCGTCGCGCTCGCCAGGCGGATGGGGCGGCATGGTCGTCAGCACCTGCCACGCGCTCGAGGGCGACTTCCTCGACGCGCTGCAGGGCATCCCGTCCTCCAACGGCCAAAGGCTGTTCGCCGTCGGGCCTCTCAGCCCGGTGCTCCTCCCCGGCGCCGGCGCGAGCAGTGGGACTGGCAGCGGGAGCTCGCGGCGGCACGAGTGCCTGGACTGGCTCGACGCGCAGCCGTCGCCGTCGTCGGTGCTGTACGTCTCGTTCGGCACGACGTCGTCGCTGCGCCTAGAGCAGGTGCGCTTGCTGGCCGCCGCGCTGCGGGACAGCGGGGCGCGCTTCGTGTGGGTGCTGCGCGACGCCGACCGCGCGGACCTGCGCGGCGGCGGGGAAGGGGATGCCGCGGCCGAGACCCTCCGTGCCGCCGCGGCGTCCGAGCTCGGCCCTGGCGACGCCCGCGCTGGCGTGGTGGTCACCGGGTGGGCGCCGCAGCTGGAGATCCTGGCGCACGGCGCGACGGCGGCGTTCATGAGCCACCGCGGCTGGAACTCCACCGTGGAGAGCCTCAGCCACGGGAAGCTCATCCTGGCGTGGCCCATGCACAGCGACCAGCCCTGGGACGCCGAGCTCGTCTGCAAGTACCTCCGCGCCGGCGTGGCGCCACGACGTGACCCCCGCGGCCGCGATCCGCGACGCCATCGACAGGGTTATGGCCTCGGAGGAAGGCGCCGAGATCCGGCGTCGGGCGGCCGCGCTCGGGGAGGCCGTCCTCGGCGCCGTGGCCGAGGGCGGGTCGTCCAGGCGGCCTGGACGAGCTCGTCGCGTACGTGACGAGGTGATCCTTGGTCCGTGCGGCGACTGTGCCGCGTTGTGGCGTGGTGCTGTTGTGGATTAACCATCCAATGCTATTTGTTAAGCACACTCTATTTGAGTGTTATTACTGAGATGAAGCCGAAGGTTTAGGCTAGGCTATGATTTTCATTTGGGAGTTGTGAGTTGGGACCTGTCAGGTGTCACTTGCTGACTCGAAATCGACCAGCAAGTAATGAGCCTTGACGCTTGAACGTGGGACTGTCTTTATCGGCTGTGGCTAATAAGTCGGCTGATCCTGATCTATTGTGAGAGAAAACTTTATAATATGGTTGTTAAGTTGAAGCGAAGTTCGACTATACTTTGGTAGGATAGCGGACTAAAAAGCTACTGTAATAAAATAGGAGTATCAGATTTTTAGTAGAAGAAAATATACGTACATACCTAGTAGTAGTTAGGAACGTAGCTCCCGTGCTGTCCTCGGCCAGGCCGTGCCTGAGGTCGACGTCCGGGTGGCGGGTGTGCTCCCAGCTCCCGCCCGTGCTGTCGATCGGTGCAGGCGCCGGTCTGGCGCTCGGCATCTCCTTTCACCACGCCGTCGCCGACATCGTCCACCCCCCACGGCGACGAGATCGCTCCAGCGATTCTCGACAGGGCGGCGCCAGATATGCCTGTGGTGAGTAGCAGCTAGCTGGTTAGCTTCGTGTCCGGCGAGGCAATGCTGTTTACCACACATGCATGAAAAAAACGTTGGTGAAGAATACTGTATTTCAAGAAATGGTTATTACTTTTGGTGGTCCGTCGTCTGCTTTTCAAAATATGCGCCTCATAGGATTTGACATCTTTTGATGGATAATTTCGTGCGGGGTGTTTTCCTTTCCTTTTCCTCAATTTTCTTTTTCTCTCCTTTTTTCGCACATGCGAAAAGTGCCGAATCAATTTAATTTTTTTTTTGCCGAATCTGCTCTAGCTTTCCTGTACGAGGTGCATCTCTCCGTCTATATATCGCTGGACCCGTCATCCACTTCGTGATCTTAGATTTTGTGTCAAGATTTATGCTATGGCCCTGTTCGCTTGTCTTATAATCCGTACTTTTCATCTTGTTTTTTCAGCCGGAACAGTGTTTTTCTCTCACAACAAATCAGCCGGAACCCTATACGGAGTGAGTTCGCATCTTCTTTGCCTATGTTTTAATTCATGCTTATTGAATTCTTGTATACAGCTTTCATTTCTTATACTAAGGTGAAAACTGAGGTGTCTGATTCATAGAATTTTTTTAGCAAGAAACACAGCTTCCAACTCAAGGCTATAGAAATATGCAGCTTATTGCCTACTTGCACTTGCATCTGATAGCTCCTTAAATGTTTCGACTTTAGGTTCCATTCTGTACATGAAGCATCTTTTATTTAGGATGGCACAAATTAGCATGTCACTAAAATAGCTTGCTCCAAGAGAATTCCGAGCCCCAAAAAATGTTACAGCGCACTATTGGAACTGTTTACCGTCACATGTCCACCTGCTTTTTTTAGACGACTATATGCATACTGATTTTCCTTCTGTTTTGCTGTGATGTGGTCCATAAGGCTGTGCTCCCAGCAACTCTGTATTGTTTATAGTTGACTTTTATTTACTAATTCAGAGGTTGTTGAGATGGATCTTGTGCGAAAGGTTTGGGCAGGCATTAGTAGTTTGTATACACAGTTGTTGGTGACCTTCCGTCTGATAGAACTGTATGTCATACACATTAGAGAGGTGGCAGTCTGGGGCTAAGCAAATTATATGTTTCAGCGGTGAATTGAAGAAGAAATCATATGATGTGCTCATGCCATTCTTTACTAAATTGTCTGCCAAGCATTCTCCTTGACATGTTGTTTGCAGAACTTGAACATGCATAAATTGGGGTTTTCCTGTTTTTTGTCGTATGGATTGATGACCATGTTGCTTACTCTCCCGAAATAAGAAAATAAAGATAATTCCATTTTGTTGGTTTCTGGTTATGAATCTTTGTTAGGTGTGCCTTCAACATGCATAAGAGGTTCAATATTTATGGCCATGAGCTAACTGCTTTCTACTTACAGTTCATATGTCATCCGTGCTGATAAAATGCTTGCTATTGAGAATCTGATGCTGTTTAGATTAGTGGTAATTGGGTTAAGGAACCTGCTCCGTTATTTCACCTATACATGTTTGGATGATTCCACTGCGTGTGATCGATGGCGATTTAAAGTTCATGGAACTGGTGGATTCTAAAATGTCTGCCTGAAGAATATATCTTGATACTATATGGTTTGGAGATGCAATCCAATGTGTGCTTGATACATGGCATTTACAGACTGTAGTTGCATTTACTGAATGTGTGTGTCTACTTAGGAGCCGCTGTTACTGATTTTCAGTTCATTGTGAGGAAGGGGTCATTAGTTGCAGCTTGCTGGGTTCCCGACCTATTGCTGCCCTCCCTTCTGTGCATATGCAACAGCAGCACCTTGGCAATGTAAGTTGTCTTCGTCTTGCATATGACCGTTTACTTAGAATGCAGACCTAGATAGCCAAACCATGGCACCAATTAGAATCTGAGAATGCACTTCTCAAGCAAATGATAGTTTACAGGTTATCAATGACACTTAACAGCATGCTCAGATTTAACTTTTTTTTTCTCAAAGAGGTGGGGATCAGGTTCAAGGAACAAGATACCCATCGGTTGTCGAAGAAAATGTCAGTTGTACAAAGATGTTATCTTCTGATCTGCTATATGGATCGGTTTCTGTTGATATTATTACTATCTGTTTCGTCGGATGGAGCTCAGGCTCAGCCAACAAGATCTAAAGGTGACTCCTTGAATGATGTGCTATCTTTAAATCTACTGTATAATCGATTTGCAACCGATTTCCTGGCTTCTATTTGAAAAGGAAAAAATGATACTGCGATTTGTCAATAGTCCTGTTTTTATTTTATATATTTTTTCCCTTTTCTTAGACCATGGGTTTTTTCCTTTTAGATCAACGAGCTGGAGCTCAAGTTGTAGGAACGAGAACACCAACAATCAGTTGCTGAACTACAGGTACCTCCTCTATGAATGCTGTGCTATCTACCTTTCATTCAACTAAAATGTTGTGCTATCTACCTTTCTTTCAACTATATGTTTCGAGATAAGGTACTTGCAGATACATACAAGGGATATCTTTTGTAGCTACACTGCAGAATCTCTATTTCTGTCTTCAGATTAATTGATTGATCTATCCCTTCCTTTGGTTCTTTGGGAGCTACAGCAAATTCAGGTTCTACCTTCTCAAAACCAGGATGATACTGAAGGCCTTCCCCGTGGTGCAGTAAAAAATCCTCAAAAAAGAGGTGACAGCTTCTCTCCGTTTATTGCATTCGTGTATTGATTTGCATACTGAACACAGTCTGATGAGGCTAACCCAATAGAATGTGCTTCTGCTTTGTTAGCTTCGGTCTCTGCTTTCTTACCGTGCCTCACATCTTATGACAGAGTGTTAGAACCAAAGCAAATTAAGTATTGCTACTTCTATATACCTTTGGCTAAGTTTCCCGTGCACAGTATGTCCATCAACCCTTATAGTGGAAGCACACCTCCTCCTACAATTGTGAGAAATAACATATTGATATGCGCATACTAACAGCATTGCACGGTGTGCTGCTGTGAGTTCCTTTCCTTTTGCCTACTGTCTTTCGTTAATGTCTTTTCTAGATGTGCAGCATGGTGTGTGCCATCCTGTGGTTGTGTGTCTCTACCATTAAATTGCTTACATTTATTGTTGCTTATAGGTGTGGATCGGGAGAGGCTTAAGCTCTCGTGTAAAATAAATTTGAATACATTAGAAATCTGTTTGGTCCCTTCAATGACACAGATTATCCATAGGCATCCACATGAATCTTTTTTTATCTGTCCTTTTTTGTTTAGATGTGGGGTGATGCGAATTGATCTCCTAATTACCTAATCAGCATTGTTTCTAGCAATGCAGCCTTACATTATAATAGTAATAGTGAAACGGTAGAGTAAACAGATTCCTGTGCTTCATAATGTTTCTGTTGCGGGGATTTTCTTCTCCCTATGCATTTTACGTATCGGTTTTCTGTTCAGAGCAGGTACTGACCGGAAGACACTCAAATTCAGAACTGCGTCACATCTCCTCTGATTTTGAAGCAAATCCCTACGCTTCGTTATGTAGTCAGCGACCATCTCTGCTGTAGGGACTTTCTTCTTCCTATGTGTTTACATAGTTGTTTTCTGTGAGCAGATACTAAGCAGAAGGCATCAAAGTTCATAGCTCAATCGTCTCTATTCTAATTGTGTATGTTACTGCGCTCCTCTTTACATTGAAGAAACAGCGCACAGGCCAATATAAGTAGGGTAGTAACCTCCCAGTTGTTTACTGCCTGAGTATGCCTTTAGCACGCGCTTTCCCATCTATCAACTTTTATTTAGCCTTACCAACTGATCCAAGCTTTTGTTAATGAATATGTTTTTTCCATGTCTACAACTGTTGCTATATTTATCTTGTCACATGCTTATTATCTGGAGTACTAAGAAGCATTTGGAAATTGATCAAACTCCATCAAAACAGATTCGATTTCAGTAAGTCACATCCTGTATCATCGATGTATCAAATCGTTAAGATTTACAACGATTGCATTTCGTTTTCCCCTTTTGTTTTTCCACATATTCACCCCTTGTTAGAAATAGATCACCAAGAGATACAGAAACGTAACTTCCTCGCAAAAACCTATTCCAGGATGAAACTGATGCTAGGAAGAGTGATCATTTAGGATGTGCTTAATTGACCTCTTTTACAGCCTCTAGCTCCAGTTCACAAAAAAACACCTACACCTCATCTGACCTCTAAAAAATTTATGACGAATGAAACCAACAGTGGAAGCCGTCAAAAAACTGATAGTAGTTCAGCATCAGCGTACCCATCAAAGCAGTAACGTACTTCCATCTTGTATAATGATTTCCTGTGTGGTACGCAGATCCAAGACCAGAGATCTTATATGATAGGAAAAGGACAGCGGACATGAAGCCTGCGTAGATCAGCAACAAGAACGAGTAAGGTCTCTACATAGCTCCCATCTTCTTGTCAACTCCTCTTTTTTCCTTTATTATATTATTATCGACACCCATATCATACACAAGAAATCTATGAAACAAGACAAGTTCTTTTGCACTCTGCTATGGTCAACGAAGGAGCCACTCATTTATTCTTTTTGTCACCCAAGCCTCTTTGTCCTGCTTAAAACTTCTCTCCATCGATCAATAGACATAGCGGCTACATATTATACTGTGACTAGCCTCATAGTTATATTTTTATGTATCACATATGCACGAGCACAGCGCTGCCTAATCATTTTGCAGCGTGGTCATAACTATGACCACTAACTGGAACGCCTAAATGCTCTGGACACTATCTCCTGCCGGTATGTTTATAGCAATGGACCTTTGAGAAAAAGCTCCCACTATATGAATATAATTTGTTTTATAGCAGTGTGATGTGTCTGACAGGTGGATCTTCTTCTCTCTTTTAAGTTACTTATGGGAAATATTTTCCTAAATGCCCAGGTCCTCTTTTCCTCCATTTTCCCACCTCTTGTATATCTCTGTAAGAAAATTTTCCAGGTTTGATTTATCGCGGTTCTCCATGTTCGTGCACTGAGCAGTTTACAAACTGTCATCCTGTTATTATCTTGGTTCCTTTGTATTGCCTCTGTTGGTATCTTTCTTTCTTCCCATTCCCCTGATTCTCCTTTTGTTAGTACAATTTGGCTGCATACCTTTCTTTAGCTTTTTATTTTTTATTATCATTCCTTACCACCTCCCTATTCTTTTTTAAGCTACTAATCTACCTGTTTTGGAGGTATTGCAATAAACTTATTTATGGAACTGCTTGGTTGCGTATTTGCTGTCCTGACTGTTGCTTCATCTGAGTGTGTTTGAACTACAAAATATGGTACAAAAAACAAGCTGCATCTTCAAGCTCCATTCAAGTAAACAAACCTCTGCATTTCAGGTAAAAAAAGGTTAGTCCTGCTTTTTTTCCACTTATTTCCCAGGTTCTCTCTTACCATTTAGTTTAGGTGTTCAGCAGAATACATGATTCATATTGTCTTAAAAAATGCTGCAAAGTTTACTTCGCACCTATATCGTCCATGTCAGATCCCAAATCTACAATGAAAAAATATCTCAAGTATATACTAATTTACCTGTTGTTGTAATTCTTAGTTTGTAAAAAACCAATAATAATAATTTTGATATATTCAGATCACAATATGTTCTTCAGTCATTTTTCTCTGTGTGCTTCATCCCAGTTGACAAAATATTTTGTTCTCTGCAGCTGTCAGCATCATCACCATTTCGGTTCAGCAACCATTACACTATAGACGCATGACTATGCAGCCCTCTTTAGCTTTTCCAATCTTACGCACTGTATGTAATACATATGTATATATTTGCTTGCCACTCTTAGCTAATTTTCAAAATCATGAATGAAACATATGTTCTCATACTCTCTTCACCGCAGACCTGGACAAACCGTCTGATGGCATAAAGAATCAGTCCTTCTATGTATGATGTACCTAGCCATGTGTAATATATAGATCCTGTACGTGTGTGTCCATCATGGTACTCTAATTATGTACATCACCGGTATTTGTACAGTCTAATATAATATAATATAATATAATATAATATAATATATGCATCCTCTAAGTGTGTATTCGTCAGTGTACCCTAATTATATACTACATCAGCAGCGTGTGTAGCGTATAAAGACCTATCTGTACAGATCTAGAAATGGTCACCTGCGCTGCGCTCGCTAGTCCTATCTGAACTCCGTAGCGTGAGCAGACTAGCAGAGCAGAGGCAGCAGCAGCAAGTCAGAAACGCAAACCCCCGAGCCCCAAACCGCAGAACCCCCGGCTCCTCCCGCCGCCGCCGCCGCCTCCGGGGCACGCCGGGATGCCGAAGCCAGTGGCTTCCGTCGCCTCCCTCCTCCCGCAGCTATGGCGCCGCCCCTTCCGTCGCGCTCCCATCCTCCCCCGCGCCCGCGGCGCCTCCTCCTCCAGTTGTTGGGCCGCCCGAATGGCCAAAACTAAATTTGGGCTTTAGAAATGAAACGAAGCCCAAGTCTGAACTCGGCCTGGAGCCCAGGCCAACACGACAGATTGAAGGCGGTTCACACGAACCAACATGGCACAAAGCACTGCTTATGTTTTGCTGTTCATTCTAGGAAATGCGACATCTTTTGTTTTTATATGGCTGTTTGGTTGTGTGCAAGGCTTATTTTCTACTCAGACATTCGGCAATCAATCTACTCAAATCCTTTTCTTATAACAGAAAACAAAACTCAATCAGCTGTTCAGAATTGATGACACAACAAATGCTTTCCACTCAGCCAAAAAGAGAGACGCACCCTATATACCCATCCGCCGGAGCTGGGATTACAAAACTGAAAATAGATCAGGAATCCCAGCAATCCAAAACTGAAAATAGATCAGGAATCCCAGCAATCCAAAACTGAAAATAGATCAGGAATCCCAGCAACCCATTCGGCACAGCCGGGATTCCAAAACTGAAAATAGATCAGAAATCCCAGCAAAGGAGCAAAACTTCATCTGCGGCAACGCCTCCATTGTTCAAAAAACAGCTTGTTCAATTTGCTAAGCCGCGCGGCTTGTTCCTGTCAGCCAGAAGAACATCCTTCCATGCCTCGTACAACACCCAGGTGATGCCGGAATGTGGCATGACCTTCAGGCAGCTCGCCCTCCACCCACGGTAAAGCCCCAGGAAGCCCTCCCCCCGGATCACCTCTGACAAAGCAGCAATCATGTTAGGCGAGCACTTCCCCTGCAGGGCGCCGACCATCAGCCGCTTCCTTGCTACCTCCAGCGGGAAGCTGATTGTGCTTGCAGTGAGACCTGTGGATCCAACGGTAAAATGTCAGTCCTGTTTGCTCAGACTCCAAGTAATCATTAGACGGCATGGCCCTGACTTTTCTATCTCGTCGTCAGTTTTAAGACAAAATGTTGAAGCGGTAAGCAACAGGTGACCGACTGAAACTAGATGCAATGAGATGCTGATTCATTTACCTGAAAGAGCCCCGATAAGTAGAAGTTCAGGGCGACTCAAAGATGGCTTCTTATGCAAGTGGCAGTAAGAGGTCTTGAGTGTATCATACATAAAAAAAGTAGCATGTTGTGTAAGCAATCATGCCAATTAGCGTTGGACAGAGGCCAGCATAGAGACCACCTATACCATCGGTCTGATAGATCCTTCTGAAGGCAAGGCTAATGCTTGGATAAAGCTCTCGATTGATAGTCAAGCGATCCTGTCAGAACATCAATGATGTGACATTAAGTAACAATGTAATATGACTTTCACAGTTAAATGTACGGATGAAGAAATAGCGCTGGCTATCAACAAGGCCACACTTCAGCAATTACCTTGATAACTTCGAGAGGATGGCACACCAATGTGGCAGCTATTCCAGCAGCAGTACCGGCAACAGCGACGGGAGATAAGAAGTGAAGTGGAAGCTCGATTTTCATATTACCAAGCTGTATCTTTGGGTATCCGTCCTCTTTCCATTTCTCTTGAGCTTCTGTCATGCTCCTCTTGACACATTCAAATGTTCCGAGTTCAACTGCTTGGGTTGGAATAACGCGGAGCATATTGATTGTATTTCCTGCCCAAAGCCCTTGCCACCCACTTTGTTCGATGATCTCCACCAAACTACCAAAAACATGCCTAGATCCTACTCCTACAACCATTCTTGTCCTGAAATTTGTACACAATGGTATATGTGACCATTCCTTCTGCTTTACTCACTAGATAATTATGAAACTATTCAGCCATCAGCATTTGTTGAACTACATGTTTCAACAGCACGGTTGAAATAAGCTTGCATAATTTTTAATATAATATATTCTGCTGCGCTCAAAACAAAATAATATATTTATGCATGTCAAGAAACTCCTCCCTTTTCACTGATACCCCCTTCATCCTAAATTAAGTTACTGGAGCATTCAAAATTTGTCCCAAATTATAAAGGATTGTAGCCCTCATCACTTATTAATACCCCCAGGAATCCTCTCTGAGCCTATCAGGAGGTTTCCACACATAAGAGTTAGCTCTAAGTATCATCTGATCACCTGCAACAGGGGAATAAAACTCTGAGTACTCGATTGTACGCAGCAAGACTTACCCGACAAGAGGAAAATAAAAGACTCCAAGGATATGCAAAGCTATCTGGCTTGTGGGTTATTGTATCTGCGGAAGCATTACTAAACGTGCGTCCTTATATTCAACATCATTAGCAGTCATCATTAGTTCATTAACTAACCATTCTATATAAGCACCTATGCTACTTTCAAGAAGGTGATAAGCAATCAGACCCATTTTATCATCTTTCATATTCCAGTTCTTACTACGATGCTAGACCATAGTCAAGTCGACCGTCTCACAGAAACGGCGATTCACGAACCAATGTATTCCAGCTGGGTACCTTGAAACACACGTTCTGTTTGTACCCCAGGCACAAACAAGACCAATCCATTCCACTCCTATCACGGGGTCCAGGTCCTCGTCCAAACTTGGACTCCAAGCCCTCACACTTGAGACCCGATCTCAGTATGGTGGTTAGACCTCCACCTTTCCCCACCTCTAATCAGTCGGTCCGGAAAGAACCGGAACCCACAACAAGAGCGTAATGAGCCTTTCCGCTCTCATAAGCAAGTATGTGCTCAGGATAATAAGTCTATGACCTAACTATCATCCACAACAACGGACGGTCCTCAATCGACACAGTCAGAACAAGTGCAATCCGAGCCTCGCTCGAATGCCTAACCAAGTCCAGATCCAAAGTACCATTCCGCCCGGTCTCTAATTATCATTCAAATATATTCTATGTGACAGTAATATAATAACAACAATAATATCTTTTCTATCTCTCGCGAGTGACAGATAATCACTCAACTTCTACCAGATCCTATTGCATAGCAATCTACATGATCCTGACATACTAATAGGACTCATAGGATAAGGATATATATATGCAAGTGGTTTTCATTCAACTCCTTAAAACTTAATGCACAAGCATAAAATAAAGTGTAGAATAATAGGGGTTATGCACCGGGACTTGCCTGGGTAAGATATAACCAAAAGTTAGCATTCCATTATAGTGACACGATCATCAAGGCATCATCTTTTTCGCTACTTCAGTCAACTCTATGATCCATCGTTGTTCTTATTATGATATACGTGGATGTAACGTAGAGACATAAATAATCAACGGAAACCGAAACTCTTAGAAATACGATTACGCTCCGTAAGCCAACGAGCTAGATTTAATGAGTAACGTACTGGTCTACGTATCCACGTCATCAAGTAAGGCTTTGTCTCTAGGAAAAATATTTTAGTTCTAAAATCCCAAGGTGTTTTGATATTTTATTGATTAAACATATATTTTTGAACTAGGGCTCATTTAGCTATCTTAGCAAACTAATTATTATGGAGCTACAAAAATTACAATGAGCACCTAATAATGTGAGAAATTTACTGTGAAAAATTCAGAGTCAACATTATCACCAATTTATCCCAAAAATTAATTCAAGTTTATATCTTAACAATATTAAGCATCTCAAATTAATTAGATAACTCTAGAAAATATTATAAAACTATGTGAACAAAATATACTAGCAGATAGATCATGATTTTAGAAACCTAACAAAATTGGCTTCACAATTTTTGGTTAATTACACAATTTTATACTGAATTTACAAGTTTACCTTAGAAACTAAATTAGAAAATGCATTAGAAAAAGAAAAGGCCGACAACAACCCTCTCAGGCCCGGTAGCCCAATGCGGCGCGGCGACCCAGCAACGACCCAAGGCCAGGGCGCCCGCGCGCGATGACGGCTTTGCAGAAAAGCCCTGTGCTTTTAGATAATAACATGGCTACTATGCGTACTATTTCTACCGACAGTAACTTTGCAACCAAACCCTTGGATGTTTTTGCCTTTACCACGGGGAGGTCCCTGGGGATCCCTGCGCGCGCCGATGCGGCGGCCGACGGCATAAGGCGATTACGCCGGGCAACCTAGGCGTTCTACGATGAAAGTAAGGGGCCGACCACCATCTACAGCTAAACGCGCAAGGATGGGTGGCGGTTAGGGACTCGGAGGCGCACTGTCGCGGGCTACAGCGGCGAGCGGCTATCCGCGGTGGTGGCGTGACTATTCCGGCGAGCGTACGCCCTCATGAAAAGGTAGAGATGGCGGAGGAGCATCAGTAGCTCACCGTGGTGCACACCCTACTGATGGTTGAAGCAGGGGAGCACTGCAATGGTCTAGCCACATGCGACCGGGTGGGGTGGCGGCGCTCTGCGATGGACACCGGCGCATCACCCCACCGACGACAGCTACCTCAGCCAAAACAGGGCGAGCACTGGATAGAGGAAGTCAAGGCGAGCTCAGGGTTACGAGCAATTGAACTGCTACCACTTCTACATGCCTTACCTCCCAACCCACCGATTCAGCGATGCCCATGACCGGCGACGAGCACAAGTCCAAATTACCAGTCGGCAGGGCATGACCGAGCTTGAGGGGAAGGAGACGACTAGCCTACTTCCTAAGCTCCCCGCTAGAGCAAGGAATTGAACGACGAAGCCGCTGGCGCTAGGCAAATTGGAGGGCAGAAAAGCAGAGCTCAAGCCATGGAGGAGCACACGAGTGAGCACGAGTGGATTAAGACAGGCGACTCCGATCGATAGCTGCAACACGAGCACATGTGCACAGGTGGAGAGACAGTGGAGGGATTGCCGTGACGCGCTTGAAGTGGAGCGACCGAACCCGAGCAGGTTGCACCGGCGTCGGCTAGCGAGGGCAAGTGAGGCAAGAAGGCATCCCATTGCCACTATGAGCGGGCCATCGACCAGACATGGCGGCAGCGGCATACGCTAAGGGCACGACGCGGTAGGTGATACGAGGGGTGAGGCAGACGCCACATCGACCGAGCGATGCAGCCGCAACCACGGCGTGTGGCAGTTGCGCGGCGACTAGCCGCAATGGGGCGGTGACAGCGGCTCGCTAGGGCCGATCACGACCACCCATGGCCAGTCAGGCCGACCGGGCTCAGCATCGCAGTGCGCGGAACACGGCCAGCCGCACGACGCCGAGCGGCTGCACTAGGTGACCACGTGCACGGGCCAGACATATGACGTGCACGGATTTTAAAGCAAAGCAAAGGATGCTGATCATCTGAACCAAAGTTCAACCAATCCTACTAACCTAAAGTCGACACTACCAGCTAGCTAGCGGAGCAATTGTCATGACCCAAGAGCAACTAGAGAGGGAGATATAAGGGTGCCAACTTGGGTTCGTCGCTGGAGTGTCGGTTCACTAACAGAGCGCCAACAACACGATTACAACGCGTTCTAAGGAGGTTTGGGTAGTTTTTACGAGAGCAACGTGACATCCAACACAACTTTGACCTACACCATGCTCATGTACTCACTTTGATGCAATCAATAATACCAAAACATGCAGCTAGTGTTTAAACATTTTTGTTAGAAATTAAATGTCAAAATAGCATTGTCTTACTACTTTTCCATACTTAGGAAAGTTAAGGATTTCCATTGAGGCTAAGTAACCATTAACTCTTTTGTCGTAATTTTTAATAGATCTAAACCTTGTTAACTTCAACCACAAATACTTCATGCAATAGTCCATACCTTATACTAACCCATAGGAGCAAAATATTTAAGCACCATTTAACTATTTTGCTCAATATAATTCGCCAAAAATGGTATTTTAACAATAGTTCAAGTGTTTGCCGGCTTAATGAAAAGATCTTATCTTAACGTCAAATTTGATTTTTGAGCTCCCAAGAGCACTAGTTAACACTATTTATTTTGATTTTTCTCAACCACAAAAGTGAGTCACATAGAATTTGTTTATCATTTCACGTGCGTTATAAATTTTTAAAACCCGAAAACTTATTTGGCTAATTCCTCTCAGACCTAAATCTTTGTGCTAAGCAAGCTCGTAACACCTGGGGTGTTACAAATAGGTGTTTCACAAACCTAGCCCACATGGTGGACACCGTAAGAACCTACCCCAAAAGTGAGGGTAGCTCAATGACACGCTCTACTAGAGTTGCTCTTCGCGGCTCCCACGGGGCGAGCACAACACCCCTCACAAATCCTTCTTCAGAGCCATGCACAATCTTCACGCGTTCTTCACAATGGAGACCACAATCCACTAAGCTATCTAGGTGATGCCAATCACCAAGAGTAACAAGAAATCCCCCAATCACAAAGATTTCCTAGTGCCACCAAATGCAATTCTCAAATGCATAAACACTAGGCTCTCAATCCCTCATTCAAATTAGCACCAAGCTTGAGAAGGAGAGGAAGGGGAGGTGGTGGATCTTCAATCTCTCATCCACACCCACAAAGGGCTCTCAATCCCTCACTAGAAATTAGCACATAGCATGGGAGATGGAGATAGGAGGGATGAACCCTAGCTCAAATGGAACAACAATGGCCAAAAGGGTGAATGGGGAAAGGGGGAGGCACCCCTTTAACCAGCAGCCCAGCCAATTCCCGCCTTGGAATGTCCAAGCATGACTTGGATATTGGCTTGGATATTTTGGAGCATCCCCTCAGCCAATGGTCCTCCCGACCATTGGGGAGCTCCCACCTCGGAATATCCAAGCGTGTTCATCTAGATTCAAAATATCCAGGTGCATTTGTCCAGGTTTGGAATATCTA